CATTATTTGCTAGATTAGACTCCAAAGACTAAATACAAATGGAGGCCAAGTTCACTAGCTTGTTTTTAACTGCAAAACAGAATTAAAGAAAGTCGTGGAAAGAGGTAAAATAAGGGATGCCCTATAAGGACCGAGGAATTGCAGGCTCAGAGAAAAGATTTCTTCAGCAGTAACCGACTGACTTGACAGCTCTTTCAACAAATGCTGATCAGATCCATCAAAGCACTTGAAACAAGGAGAGGGCGCAAGAACAGCCAACATAAACTAAGGTGTAGGAAATACTATGCTGAGTACAGATGCCGTATGTCTTTTGCTGAGGAGTGAATGTGAAATGCCTCATGAAAGCAATCTGGGCACCATGCCATAATGATCTGGAAACGTCAAAGTAGAGAGGTGTCTCCAGCTTAGCCATGAAAGTAGGCACCCTACTGGATGAGTAATCTCAACATCGGAAAGGGAAAAAGCTTTATGTTCACGAGGTACAAGTCTCCTTGATGCAAGGTCCTTCTCCTCTTAAAAGGGTATATCTTGTACCTTAGATGCCTTAAAAATCCTGCCCTGAACAGTTAGACAGTAAGGGAAGAGTCTTAGTTTTTTCAAATAAATGCAATGACTTTAAATTTGATGGCAAGGATAGTAACAAACAGCTCTGCTCAGAGCTAAGCGCAATGCCAGTTTCTCCAAGCAGTTCAAATGATACAGCTGAATCGTCTTCTATAATGTCCCCACTGTTCTAGTTGTGAATCAATGTGGTATGCACAGGTGATGAGGATGCGGTGATAATTCAGCCTGCTTGAGACAAAAAAGCTACAATATATTACAATGGAGAGGGAATGGAACAAGGTTCAGAGAAAGATTGTAAATTGGGTTTATGTATAATCACGGCCTCATCCACTGTCAGACAAAGTCTTGGGGAAAAGAACAAGCTTGCATGTCACTCATCCCAAATTAGCAACTTGTATTATTACAGTGATCTAAAAATTGACACCTAATTTTCAGAAGCTATTTATTTAATGTTATACCCAACAGCAAACAGGAAGGCAGCTAAGACTAAGGTGGGTGTCCAGCAACAAGTTAAATTGGCCCTTTTTGCAGTGTGTTTTCAAGCAAGATGCTGTGAGACAGTTCGGTGGATTGGCAGAAAAACAGGGGGCTGGGAGACTCGGGTTCAACTCTTACTGTTATTAGGTGCCCATGTGATCCACGACAAGACCCTGGCTGCTTTGTTTCCCCACCATCTGTTAAATGGGAAGAAAAATACTAACTACCTCTGCAAGGTGTTTGACGTCTGCAGACATAGAGGGCTACAGAGAAACTAATTACACACCAGGAGTAATTAGCTCTCACTTCTGAGCTCCACTTGGTACAAGAAAATGCAATCCAGAAGGAGGGCACACCCAAGAGGGAACAAGTTACAGTTCCCCAGTTTGGTAGAAGGCCTCATCTCATCCCACTCCTGCTCACATCACATACATCCTGTGCTCTACTGGGATTTGATATGGAGATCATCTCTCAGACCAGCTCTGCCCATTTTAAATTAGTTGAGAGTTTCCCCATCAAAAGGGCAACCCTCTGCTGGCCAGCACCATACAGGGTCCACCTCCTTTTCACTGATCGAGTGGTACAAAAGAGCTAAAATTTAGGAGCAAGTCTCACCTCATGTGACACATCACCCACACAACAGGTGTAGTTACCAGAGGACGCCAGCTCCTGTTTAAAAGTGTGTGGAAGAAAATAACAACTTACAGCTGCCTTATGCCATATTTCTCCCAGGAAATTTGAGAAATGCTATGCAGCACATCTGCACCTGTGACAATACCACCCACTGATATGATGGATATACTCTTCTAAAAATCTTTCCCATCCTAGGAATGTGGAGGATTTATTCTACCTACTGTTAAATTCTTCACACAGATTGCTTCTCTAGAGCCGTGCCGAGTTGTGGGTCCGGCAAAATGAATGTGGAGCGCCTTTTAAACAGCTGGTGCACACCAAGCCATTGGCCTCAATGCATGCATCTCTTAGCTTAGCCACCAAAAGCCCGCATACGATTTTCTGAAGAATATGCTCAGGAAATCCTCCCCACCGGAAGAAGAAAAATGCACAGATTGCTGGTCTACGTGGGTAGGAGAAGCAAGACTTCCGCTGTGGCTGGACACCCAAAACTGCTTAAGGGAGTAAATATTATACTTTCCTCAACATTAGGAAAATCTTCTTCAGTCCGGGTGCCCAGACTGTGGAATAAGCTCCCTCCAGAGGGGGTCCAATTTCTGACCCTGGAAAACTTTAAGAGAAGACTGGACAGTCACCTCACTGTCATTTTTCCTGCTTGGTGCAGGGGGCTGGACCTGATGACCTTTTGAGGTCCCTTCCAGCCCCTTACAATCTATGAATCTCAAGCCAGTGTCCTCTAATTCACAGGACCTACTTAATACGTGCACTCTTTATAGTGCCAGAGAAAATCAGGGCTAGAAGGGACCCCAGGGCATCACTTAGCCCAGCCCCTTGCTCAAGGGAAGATCATCCCTATCCGAACCATTCTAAACAAATGTCCATCTAACACAGGGCTGTCCAACTTGTGTGACCCCGGCTACATGCAGCCCAGGCACATGCTGCACAGTGCATCATGTGACACTTCCTCCCTGGCCACCCACTATGGTAGCCCCACAAGCCAGGAGCTCCCCCCTTCACACTTGTGTAGGTGCTTTGCACAGGCCACCCTCATGTCACGCTGGCATGCTGCAACACCACCACACCATTGTCACCCCCTGGCGAATCCCACCCTGTGAGAAGGCAACTCCATCCCACATCAATCTGACTGTGGGGTAAAATTCCCTCGTTATACAAAGGGTGGTGTTTGTTCTGACCCTGAGCATAGGAGCAAAGCCCTTCAACTAGGAACTGCTAGGTTTTTGGGGATCATTAACATGCTCTAGTCAAAATTCTCAGTCTTGGCTGCAGCCAACACCCAATGCTTCTAAGGAAGAGGAAAAAAAAACAAGAAAAAAAAACAGAACCCTGACGCCCATAGAAAGAGAAAAGAAAAGAAAATCCTTCCTTGGCCTATGTGGCAAGGGAGAACTTGCAACCCTCCACTTTGCACTATAACCTGCAAAAATGCACCTTTAGACATCACATATCCTCACTGAAGGAAAAAGATGACAGAAAGGGAGTCCTATCCCTTCCATCAACTCATCCCAGCTCCTGTGATCTTCTTTTGTAACTAAGCCAGTTGTAGAGATCTGCTTCGTTCTCCTGCAGCTGAGTACAGTCCTCTCCAATTTCCACCTGCTCTGGGCTGCAGAAGTGTTCTCCAGAGCTCTAAGCAACAGGTGTGTGGGGCTGTCCTGGGCTTCCCAGTGTTGCTCTTCCCAGGACGCTCTAGACACTGCTGTTCTTACATGATCTCGGACCAAAGCTTACCTAAATTCTTCGTGAAAAGTTGCAATGAAAAAGTTTCCAACAACTTCTCTAAATAGTCTATTGTACTGTTGTATTACCTCACTATTCAAATGGTGAAGTTTTTTCTCACGTCCAATCTAAACCCATTTTGCTTCCATTTCAAGCCTTTGTTATGCATCTTACTCTCTGCACACTCCTCCTCTAGTCACTAGAGGTTTATTTCCATTTCATCTATTGCTCCCCAAACACATGCTGAATTGCAGTACTATTAACAAAGATATTCATCTGCATTCCTTTCTCGCTGACCATCACTTTGAACTGCCATGGCATGCAATGTTGGATCTGCCTCTAAAAGAGGCTGCAAGCCAAAAATCTGCTTTCCTGCTCTTTAGGTATGTGCGGTCTAGGAAAAAGTGGGTTGCTCAAAAGGAAAGGTAAAGTCTGCTACCCACTGAGTAATGCAACTTCAGTATTGAATAATCAACTCCAATGATTATTAACCTAAAAGAAATGTTGTCACATTAAGAATGGACAGGCACAGAACATTGCAAAGAGCCAACAGGATTTAGTATGCATGCTTATATAAACTGTATGGCATGCGTATGCACATGCACACACACACTTATAGATATAGATACTATTAAAACTTTAGATACCTTTTTGAAATTTTTAAACCAAAAGGAAGAGCCAGTAACCTATCTTGATGCACTCCAGAAAGAATACATGCCCAAATTCTTAGCTGATATGCTATGCTGGGGCTCCACTTAAGTTAATGGAACTATGCCAGCATATGCTGGCTGAGAATCAAGCCCAAGTTCCTTAAACTAGGACTTAACACATCTTTAAAGAAAAGGCTTTGCTGCTGAACATGACTAGAATAAGTTTCTTGAAGAACCTGAGAAATTACCTGGCTTGCTAAAGAAAACACTGCAAGAAAAAGCCTGGGTAAATAAAAGCTAGTGTTTTATAACTGTAATGCTCATAAATGAGTATTATTCGGTAAATTATTGTTCCTACATAATAACTATTATGCCTGTGTATGAAGAAGGGAGGTATGTACTTTCTGGTTAAAAACTAAAATCAAGAGATTTTTTTATACCAATGTTATGGTCTTTAATACTTATCAATCAGTCGCTTTGGAAAACCTTTTACACAGTTACGCCCTACGTGAGGACTGATTTTCCACAAACGAGAACTCAAGTGCTGAAAGATTAGTGGATTTCTACCACCACAGTTAATGATACAGCAACACATGAGTGAGTGTTAAGAGGTTTACTGTTCAAGTTCCGCAAGGTCTGGATGTTCTGCACCAAAATGCAAAGCTCTAGCTAAAGGCAGTTTTCCTAGAAAAATGAGATACAAGCTGCTAGACTACATGCTGCGTTTAGAAAGAATTAGTGTCCACATTCAGAAAGACAGCTCAGTTGGGTAACACTCATGCATGTCACATGGGATTCAATTTAACTCCTGTACCTCTGGATTCTGCTGCTCAGGACAGACAACTGCTGGAGAAGCCCATTTTAATCGGCAGGCCAGCCACTAGAGGGTAGTAGTTATCACATACTAGTAGCACGTCAGATACTGAAGTTTTACCATACCTGCATACAAGACAGCTTCAATGCGGTCCTTGATATGCTCCGTGCTACTTTCCGAGGCAAGTGGAAGATGTGATGTTCCATTAGGAGATGGAACTACCAAAGGTCCCACAAGAAAAGCACATGCTGCACCAAGGTAGCTGAGCATGGATGCAATAGCTGTTGCAGTGGCACGCTCATCTGGAGAAAACCATGTAGTGGAGAGAAATGGAGCAGCATTCATCACAGTGGGACCTGCCAATCCGTTTAACAGCTGCCCTCCATGAATCAGTCTAGAAGAGAGAAAAGAATATGCAAACATTTACATAATAACTGCTTTACTTAGACATTATGCAAGACACAGAATGCTTGAGAGAGAGCACTAAAACGTGTAATTCCATAAGAGATGACAAAAAAGAAAGAAATTATTAGTGGACAAAGAACACTTTACTAAAAGAAACAAGATCAGTCTCATTTGAACAATTTGGGTTGACTTTTTTCTTATTAGCACTGGAACAAATGGAGACACCAACATTATCTTTAAAGAAGGAATGAATGGTTTAGATTACAGAGTTTGAGGGGAGGGTATCATATTAGAATATACATGCAAAAAGGGCTTTACTGACAGTCAAACCTTTTAAGCTTGATTCCTTAAGTAGGAACAAGTTCCATTGGGATCAAAATTGAAACAAAGTGTTTCGCATATTTCCATTGAACCATTTATTTTCATTTACCCTCTAACGGGAGTGTACTTGTCTAAAGAAGATGAGGTTGAGCCCTGAGTGTTTCTGGAGTAAGCTACTCCTTACTTATTCAGCTATTTGGCTACCCTCAACAAACTATAGACACAACCAGGTAACAAGTAGGATTTTACTTCCTGTGCATGCTCACCAAGCTTTAACAGACGAAGGCTGGCAATTAAAATAGAGAGATTAATCCCAAGCACTTTAGTCACTGCAAACATCTATCCAACACTCCTACGATCGACGCACACACAGAGGAGTTTCTGAAGCCTCTTATAAACATGGAATCCAGCCAGAAGTCTTTCACTGCAACCTTTCCAAATGTAATCAGACTTGAGGTGCTAAGACCCTCTGGAATTTATAAATACTGCAGATCTAAAAAGCAGCCACGGATAAGCTACCAAGTTAGTCAGTCAAAATATTCTTAGCCCTCTGAAGTGAATATACTCCTTTGTGCGTTAAGATGGGGGTGGAGGTGACTTCAAACCGTATTTATTTTTTCAGTGCAATGGGAACCCATTGTTACTTCTGCAAGACTCTTGTTGTCAGAGCCAAAAGTCCATGGTCTAGAAGCTGGGAAAATAAGAGCCAGGATGCATTAGTAGTTAGGCAATGTTTCAAGCCACACATGGCTAAGCAACATACAGCATGGCAGAAGCCTTTAAACTTCAGGAAGGAAAATTATTTGAAGGGAAAGTTGACAGATTGTTTATAAAATTAACAATTTACCGAGAAGAAATCGATGCCTCTCATTCCACTTTGGCTTGAAGTGATTGGTATTATGTAAACTTACAAGAAATGTCACATTAAGAGAATCCAATCCAAATCAAAAGAAACTCAAACCACCATGCACACCACTACACACCATAGGAAGGAAACATTTTATTGACTTACTACTTAAAGGACATAATTTTACCTCCATTAAATCTAAGGAAGGTTATCTGCTTTGAAACTAGCAGTGAACCCATTCTCCTTTTGTAATGCTCTGCTGTACCTCTTTTCCTGATTTCCTCGACAAATAACCACACGCTAAGAACAGATCAACTTTGTTACAACTTAAAGGGGGTTTCCAATTTTCTTAAACCAGTAGTAAAATAATGCTCCAGTACAGTTTTCAGAAACGGCATGCTATCTTTGAGCAGGCTGCAAAAAGTGGACCTAACCACTTGTGGTGTTTAGTTACAGTGCCAGGTTATTTAAAATATGGAAAAAGGAAGAAAGGTCCTCTTTACAGCAGAGTTCATTTCTATGTTTTTAAAGATTACTGACATTAACCTGCTTTGGGATGAAAGGCACTAAAATAAATGTAAATTACCGCCTTATGATAGGACGTTAAGGAAATTCTGTTCCCACAAAACCTCTGCAGTGTAGACGTATGTTAACATCTCTCTGCACTTGTACTATTAGAAAACTATTGTTCTAATCTGAATGCCCTCATTTTATAAAGTTTTCCAGGGATGCACACCATTGTCAGGACACGATACAACAGTCTTTTCTGCAGGCTCTGGGGGAAGGTAAGCATAGATGGCACCATACTTTAAACTGGAAAATCTTGCAAAACGAGTTCATAAATTTGGGGGGGGGGGTAGAGAAATGATAGGTACTTATTATATATGAAATTAGTCTTGGAGCTCAGATCATCTTGATCAAACTTCTATCTTTGCAAAGCCCTATGATCTGCATTCATAACTAGGAGACACCTTCAGCAAGCAAATGCAGAGGTGAAAAAATCATTTTTTAAAATTAGTATATTATCTTTTGCCTCTTCATACGTTTCTTTTATTTATTTTTTTCTCCCTGTGCCATCTCCTTCCCTTTCCAGTTTGGTGCGATGTCTGTGTTGACTGACTTTTTGGCTATGGCAAGCGAAGTCTGTTCATACTGCTGTCAGCAGTTGAGCCTAATGACACTGTACTGTATGGCCTCATCTTTTACAGCTATTTTACAATCCCCATTTTGCAAGCCACAAATATTTTAGTTTTTTTAAATGTCAAACCTTTACTGTCAGACCAGCATGGGCTTCTAGTGTTCTCCCGCATCAAATATCTGTGCATATAGTTGTGTTCTGATCCTTATTTTATCCCTCATTGATATACTGGCTTGAATTAAGCAACTTTTCCTGGAAAGGATATTATTTTCATTTGTTCCTCTATGTATCTTTAGCTCATCTCTCAAGGGAGACAGAAAAGGAGATTCTCAAAAATGTGGTTGAGTGCATTTAGTAATCTACTACTCCGGGAGACATATGTAGCAGCTAATACAGCTGACAGAGAGAAATATGAACAAAACCGGTATTGCTGCCTTTTGCTGTTTGTTACAATGTCTTGTTATCACTGAAGTAGATTTCAGGCTAAAAGACTATCAGATCTCTTTCTTACACACCATCATCTGTGCTAAAAATTGCTCCAAGATTAGAAGCATTTGTTCCCGTTATTTCCCCATTTTCTCTTGGGTACTGCTATCCAAAAGGAGCAAAGAGCAACTGTGTTTTTTTGCACTGTAATTTAAGTTTGATTCTGTAATACAAGTCATCTTTTGTATAAAAGGCAAGAATAGCAAGACTTCAGTCCACTGCTGAACCCAGATGGAAAACATTTTTAAGAGCTGGCAGAATAACAGTTGAATTTTGATCGATTCTACACTCAGCTGCGCTCTGCTTTCAGATTTACACATTGCTTTTCCAATATTCAGCTAATTATTTTCCAGTATAAGGTAATGTTGAAGTACTGAGTTCAAACAGAGAATATCCCAAGAGTGTGAGTTTGTTTCAGTCACAATCAAGAAAAAGGAAGTACGAAAGAAAAAGTTAACATAAGGTATTCAGCATGAACTAATGAAATAACGGTTTACTACATACTTGACTTAAAAAGGGAGGTAATTAAGTGCCAGCCTAACCCTCTTGACAGCCATGTTAGAGACCTATATTTGGGAGCCTTTATGAAGCATCTTGTCCCTTGGCTAGTGAAGCTGGGTGCTGAATTTGAAATCTGTATTTTGACTCCTGAATTCTCTGCTAAAAACACTATGCTCTTTCATTTAGGAAGTGACACAGGTTTTATCATTTCGATAGTAAGAATAATGGCCCACAGCCTCCTGGAACTGGTGCGTTTGTAAAGAGGTATACATAGGGAAAACCTAACTACTACAGATAGGTCATGGGAAATCGCTACAAATTCGCTCTCAGCACGCAGTCATAAGTTGGCAAGATACACTACAAGAAAGAATCTGTACATGACAACAGACGCTATTGGACTGAGTAGTTATCCTCTGTCCATCCATTTCCCAAGTCTTTATTAAGTCTAGTTTTAAATAACTCAAGCTATTGCACTTTTACTACTTCCCAGGGGATGCTAGTTCACATTTAAGTCTTTAGACTAAGCCTGTGCTTCCTTGATTGATTTTCGTCATTGCCATCACAACTGAAGCATCACAGGTCATCAATAAAGTGTTTGCAGTGTTAGAAACAATGAAATTATATCACCGGCTAAATCAGGCAAGAGAAAACAAACCGACTGCATAGGAGAAACATTTCTGAGATTGGTGCTGATACTCAAGGTAAGACTGATAAGGGTTTTCCATTCACATCCTGTTATACTTCATTTTATTTTAATTTCCTTTCAGGCTGAATTTTTTCACACTTGGTCTCAGCCCCAAAAGGAAGTTCTTCAGAAAATGAGCTAGCTTCGTTCTGCCATTTTTAAGCTTTGCAAGTGTTACACAAGCTTTTCTTACCGTGTTAAAACAACGATTGATGCCTCTTGAATGGTTTTTCATTGATAGATAATGACAGCATTTTCAAATGAAGAGAGCCTTAACTTTATATTATGGATGAGAAATAAGTGTGTGCATGTGTGTGTGGGGCCGGGGGAAGGTGACTTGTCCTACCTGGGGCTGACTTACTGGAATTGAATTAAAATATCTATAACTATCTCTCTCTCTATTATATATTATATGAGAGAGAGAGATCTAGATACATCTGTAGAGATCTACAGATATCTAGATACATCCCTCTAGATGATGGGGGAGAAAGCCCCTTCAAATTCATCAAGGTCACAGTTTTTAGTCAGAACTGTGAATTAACACAAGGCTGGGAATGGAGAAACAGTTATAGGCTTTGAAAAAAACATACCAGTTTCTTGCTAAGTAGCTGTCTAGTGCAAAAATGGTCCAGAGACAGCGCAGGGAGGCAGCCTGCCCCAAGTTACACCTCTGGGACATGACTGTGGGGCCCATTTTCTTAGTCATTAACAAATGTTCTGTTAAATTTAAGTCTCCACTATGCCTGGTCCCTGGGAGGGAGGAGAACCATGTGATGGGGTATGCCAGTGTTAGTAGCCCGTCCCTTCCAGAAGCCATGTGGGTGTAGAAAGAGATCCCTGCCACCTCTTCATGCTGCTGTTTATAGCCCCAAGCGGCAGAAGCAAGATCCTGACAAGCTTCTTGACGGTCTCGCTGCTATCCACGCTTGTTGAGGAATGTGCAATGGGAATTATTAGTTTGCTACTTCCCATCTTTGCTGTTGGACAAGTGTAATCAATTTCTGGAAGGGG